TTCTCTCTTCTTTCATATCTTCTCTTCATCTCTCTATAAAAAATTAAATCAGGGCTGTGGTGGCACACACCTTTAATCCCAGCACTTGGGAGGCAAAGGCAGGCGGATCTCTGTGAGTTCGAGGCCAGCCTGGTCTACAGAGTGAGTTCCAGGAAAGGCACAAAGCTACACAGAGAAACCCTGTCTCGAAAAACTAAAAAAGAAAAAAAGAAAAGAAAAAAGAAAAATTCGCAAATAAATAAATAAATAAATAAATAAATAAATGACACTGGGATCTTGAGCTTGCCAATTAGGTTAGACTGCCAGGTCAGAAAGCCTCAGGACTCTGCCTTCCCCAGCTCTGAGATTACAAATGTGTCACTCTGCCTCACTTCTTAAATTGGTGCTAGGTACTAAACTCAGGTCTTCACACTAGCCCTTTCCTACAAGCACCTTACTGAATTATCTTCCTACCCCTCCCTCCACATTTTCGAGACAAGGTCTTGCTTTGTAACCCTGACACTTCTCAGTCTTGGTGAGAATCTTCTTTCCTTAGCCTTCTCAGCGCTGGGATTTCACATATGTGCCAACACACCAGCTTTCAGTTCCTTTTTAAAAGTGAGGCTCCACCTTCTTACTTGATATATTACTGTAACCTTCCAAGTCTAATATAAATTAACTTTGCATGAATGCATACATGCCCACAAGCAAACACATAATTTGTGGTTCCCACAACTAGAATTGAACCTAACACAGTCTATTACTTGGACAAATTTGCAAAATTTATTTTTTTATGCTCAATGTCCTTCCCTGTAAATAAGATCTGATCATAGACTTTTGAAGAGAAAGAGTTAATACATTTAAAAGTACATAAAACAGCCCCTGGCTCCTATGGCATATTCAATAAATATTAGCTATTATCATTATTGGCTGAGTCCTATACTGCTTGTATTTATCTCGTAACCAACGTTTTATAATAATTTGACAAAGCAATGACAGAAAAACATCTGTACGTTTTAAGAACATTATAGAATCTTGTCTATTAACATGTTTAATTGATTAAATATTCTTCCCATTGTTCTAATTTTGAGTTTTTTCCAGTTTACAAAGATACAAATCAGGTATGTGAAGTTTAGATTAGAAGCATATATGTAAATGTAAAATAAATATATGAAATATTATTCTAAAATTATACTGAAGCTAGACAACTTCATTCGGTCCTGGAAACAATTATTAAGAGTTAGGCTTCTTTCGACACATGAAGACGCTTGATCACAAGTTGAAGGAGCATGTTTAAGAAAAACAGATCTCCTTGGTGTTAACTCCAAATGGAGAATTTTCTGTCGTTGGCGCAGGGTTTGAAACAATCCAACCTTCAGCCACTCCTGTGAAGTCTCACAAAACCAAAATTTTGTAAATAATGGGACCCACTATCTAGTACTACTTGTACTTTCACACAGAAAGTATTATCTATTTCAAGGTGCCAATCTAGGGAATGTCTTCGGGTCTACTGGGATGCCACACGATACCAAAGTGAAGAGTGCACACAGCCTCAAACCTAACCATGCCCTTCTGGGGAAAAAGGGAGGACAAAGATGGATGGCTTAAAACATCCAAACGTTGCAGCCCACCAACGGAGGGTTCAGGAATAAGCTGGTAACTGTGAGGGGCACCTCAGAAAAAGAAGTCGAGGGACTTTCTCTTTCGTCCCACACCTTGGCCACTTGGGAGACCTGACCTCGGCGGGGCCTGAACCCCTGACTGCCACGGTCAAGAATGATGCACAGTGGAGAAAGTGAGTTTTCCTCCCCGCTTCCCGGCACGGCGTGTCCGGGTCACGGGGTAGGTAGGGCTCGCGAGTTTCCGATCCACACCTGTCAGCGCCACCCGCGCAGGACACCTGAGCCGAGGGGAAGGCCGCCCTGGGCCTCCGCCTATCTGACGGCATCACCCAGGTGGAACTGGCGAAGCCCGGGAATCCGCTCCTGAACCAGCGCTGAGCCAACCGCGGCGGACCGGGACTCGGAGAACAATAGCCCCGCAGGCTACAGCCCGGCTCTCCCGGACCCCGCTCAGCCGCCAGCAGCCCGCTCCGCGCCTCAACCAAGCCTGGGCCCTTAGTCCCGCCTTACTGCTCAGCGCGGATTGGTGGCAGGGATAATCTCTGGCGCTGATTGGACGGCGGCGAAGTCGCTCCCGCAGCCCGTAGCGTCTGGCCGCCCCGGAGCACTCAAAGGATGTCCAGGCCCAGCACCGCGCCAGCCGGGAATCGGAACCCTTAGAGGTGCCCTAGGCGGTGTCCCCGAGCTGACGGCATCACCCCGTCCCGCATCCTCCTCCCCTCGGTTTTGTTTTTCATCCCTCCCTCCCTCCTCCCTCCAGTCCGCGACGACTGGCTCTAGACCCGGCTCTGGCCTCGCTGAAGGTGAGGAGCAGAGCCGCCGGCGAGTGGGCCGCTCTGAAATGGCCGCTAGCCTGAGCTGTCTAAGATGGCGCTCTCGTGCTGGGCTGGGGACCGTGGCGCCGCGCTGCAGCCCAGCCGCGGCCGAGACAGTAGGCTGCTGAAATGGAAAGGGGTCGGGTGTTGACACGACTTCATGTCGACCGCACAGGTGGTGACATCCTGGGGCGAGAGAGATCCTCAGGCCAGCGTGGGCAGCGACGGGAAGCGAGCGTCCCGGGGGCGTGGCGGGCTGCGGGCCGCGCACACCCGTGTCCTCCCCGACAAGTCACTGAGGGATGGCTGCCCCTGGCCGCGGGGCAAGGTGACTGGGTCGAAAAGCCTGTAGGTCCCGGCCTAGATGCCTGGCCTCTCCTGCTTCCTCGCCTTCGTGCTTGGCCTGTGCTCCCGCCCCTCATGGAGATAGTGTTCACACCTAGGACAGCCCCACGGCGAAGGCCAAGGCTGAAAGGACTGCTTACCTTTCAGTTCAGGCCAAAGGGAGTGAACTGAACACAGGAGCACAGGTTATTTGTCCTCAGGAGTTGGCGGGATGTACCTCTGAAGAGAAAGGCATGAGGTGCTGCTTTAAGAAAATGAAGCTACTTGTTCTCTGCCCACTTGACAACAAGGGGAGGAGGGGTCCGAATTTTATGGTGAACCATTGGTTCCATGAAATGTTTTTGTTTTGTTTTCGGGTTTTTTTGTTTGTTTGTTTGTTTGCCAAATTCAAATCAAGGCTGAAAAGAGGCCACTGCTAAGGAATGGATTTTATAACTGCTGCCCAGTTTAAGATTGCCGCCTCTGGCAGTTGCAGCATGCTGGTAATCTGTTTCTGCACACACACCAACTCTTAGTACCAGATGGTTGTGGTGCTTGATGAAGTAGAGGAAAACTCACAAGTAATGGTGAAGCACATGGGCTGTACAGTCAAACTTCTGGGGCTCAGTTCTTGATTCTTCACTAACAAAATGTGTTAACCTAGCAGGTAACACCTTCTCTGTGTCTTTCTCTCAAGTGCAGTCATTAACATTCCCAGGTTTTTGACAATTGGATGAATTAACCTATGTGAGGAATTGAGCACAGATCCTAACAGCTCACAGAAAGTAATAAAAAGTCACTCAGTGAGCACTAGTTGTCAGATTGGGGACAGAATTTGGTTATCATAATGCCATATGTCATGTAACACTTGCCTGTATGATTTCATTTTAGATTCAGTGTTTAGTTTTAGAGATATTGAAATGGGGCTGTACTTCTTAAAAATAGGCTTAGTTTTGTTTGTTTTTTCCCAAAAAAATTTTCTGTGTTGTCAGTGGGTAAAGAAGCATTTCAAAGCAGGGAAACTGCCAGAATAGGAAGTAAAATGAAAATATTAGCATGTTTACTACCTGGTAGGCACAGTCTGTTTATATCCAAGAGCTGCACTGCAGTGAAGAATCGTTTGTGTTGACTATTTAAAATATGAATGTTCATAGTGGAAGTTTATAGTTCCGATTGTCACAGTGTCTAATTTTAACCTTTCTTATTCTAGGCTTCTGGTTACTCCCATTCCCACCCTATCCTTTAATTTTATTCTTTTGAAGAATCTGCATTTCAAGCTATCAAGTTGGAGAGAGTGATTGCAGAAAGAAGTGTTCACTGTTCAGGTATCTTACCTACTAGCTATTAACAGGAAAACCATTTGATTTGAGGGTCTAAAAGGAAAAGAGAGAGCTTAATTTGTAACCACATGAAGTTTAAAATCAACGGGATCGATCTGTATAGCTTACAAATTTAGTTTAAAACTTAGAAAACAGTATTCATTAAATGGTCTTAAGTTCGCATTACTCTTGTGTTTCTTTTATTACACGAGAGAAAAACCTACTAAAGTAAGTTTATATTTTCTTAAGATTTTGATTATTACCTCTAACACAACAGTAGTCAGTAATTAGTAACAATGTGCATTACTTTAAAAAAAAAGTCTTTAAGATAATATAAATAGATATGTACTTTTAAGTCTAGAGAAGTAGTATCTACTTTTTGGCTTGTAGTTTATTCTTCATTGTAAATACATAATGCTTAGGATACACTAGAATTCTCTGTCCTGGAACACTGTTTTCAATATAGCTTATTAGAATTGTTGCAGCCCTGAAGGGAGACTTCTGATACATAATACTATCAACATTTAATGCATCTAATGACAGTAGTTATCAGAAAGATAAAAGCAATTCTAAGATACTATCTACTATGAGATAAGGTTGGTAAATTATAGGCCACACAGTCTGTTTTGGTACATAAAGTTTTATTGGAACACCCACCCATTCTTTAATCTGTTGTTGTGCTATAACTACAGAGTTGAATAGTTGCATCAGAGCCTGTATGACCCACAAAGCAAACATTTTTACTGTATGGTCTTAAATGTTTACCAACCCTTACCATGGAAGGATTCCTAAAGATGTTTCCAAAGAGCTCTTCCTTAAAAATGTACATATGAACTCCTTCTTATTTCGTAGCTTAATAGTTCCCAGTTATTTTTAGTATGTTAATATTCTTTGAGTGTTTTGAGAAAAAAAAATGATACTAGCAATAATTTTCTTTATAGTTTAATATGTTGATTTGAATGTAAGCTTGACTACTAAACTCATTTCTGTAGTTTTTATTTTTATGTGATAATCTGCCTTTAAGAAAGGTGTGCCATACCTGAGAGTACCAGAAGTCGAATGAGAGATCACCTGATAAAAGAACAAGTGATGTTCCACTTCAAAGTGATGCATAGGCAGCATTTATGAATTAACTGATGTGTTGTTATATTTCTTCTCTCATCTTTGTTTCTTGTTTTACAATTTCAAAACATTTGTGATACTCGGTGTTAAGTCTAAATTAACCACATTTTGTACCACAAACTCATTACCCATGGATCTTTTGCTGAAACAAGGAAGTCTTAAACAAGAAGCAGAATCATTTTGTTACCAAATTGTATCTGAATCAGACAGTCCAAAGGTTGGAGTAGTACAAAGTGAAGATGAACCATTGCGGTCTTCAGTTTCTATAAAACCAGAAGGTGAGCTTTCCAGGGTCAATTTTATGTCCAGTTCCAATAAAATAGCAACATTTAGTAAGAAAATAAAAAGAAGAAAATATGATGAAAGTTATTTGTCCTTTGGATTTACTCACTTTGAAAATCGAGATGTACCTCATGCTCAATGCATACTATGTAAGAAGATTTTGTCCAATAGCTCTTTAGCTCCTAGTAAGCTTCGAAGACATTTAGAAACTAAACACATTGCATATAAAGACAAAGACATCAGCTTTTTCAAGCAGTATCTTGATTCACCTGAAAACAGTAAACCTCCAGCACCTAAGATTGTCAATACAGATAATGAAAGTGCTACAGAAGCATCATACAATGTAAGTTACCACATAGCCCTGAGTGGAGAGGCTCATACTATTGGAGAATTGCTTATCAAACCTTGTGCAAAAGATGTAGTGATGCGGATGTTTGATGAACAGTATAGTAAAAAAATAGATGCAATACAACTCTCAAACAGTACTGTGGCACGCCGAATTAAAGATCTAGCTGCTGACATTGAAGAAGAGCTTGTTTGTAGACTGAGAATTTGTGATGGGTTTTCACTGCAACTAGATGAATCAGCTGATATTTCAGGACTTGCTGTGCTGCTTGTGTTTATTCGTTATAGGTTTAATAAATCTATTGAGGAAGACCTACTCTTATGTGAATCTTTGCGGAGTAATGCAACTGGTGAAGAAATTTTCAACTGCATCAACAGTTTTATGCAGAAACATGAAATTGAATGGAAAAAATGTGTTGATGTTTGCAGTGATGCTTCTAGGGCAGTGGATGGGAAAATTGCCGAGGCTGTCACCTTGATAAAATATGTAGCTCCAGAAAGTACCAGTAGTCACTGCTTCTTCTATCAACATGCATTAGCAGTTAAAATAATGCCTGCATCTCTAAAAAGTGTGCTAGATCAAGCAGTCCACATTATCAGTTACATCAAAGCTCGACCACATCAATCCTGGGCACTAAAAATTTTATGTGAAGAAATGGGTGCTCAGCACACAGCACTTCTTCTGAATACAGAAGTAAGGTGGCTTTCCCGAGGTAAAGTTCTTTTAAGACTTTTTGAGCTTCGGCACGAACTATTGGTTTTTATGGATTCTGCTTTTCGACTATCCAGTTGCTTAACAAATTCATCTTGGCTGCTAAGACTTGCTTATCTTGCTGACATTTTTACTAAATTAAATGAGGTTAATCTGTCAATGCAAGGAAAGAATATAACTTTGTTTACAGTGTTTGATAAAATATCGTCATTGTTAAGAAAATTGGAGTTTTGGGCCTCATCTGTAGAAGAAGAAAACTTTGATTGTTTTCCTACACTCAGTGACTTTTTGACTGAAATTAATTCTACAGTTGATAAAGATATTTGTGGTGCTATTGTGCAGCATCTAAGGGGTTTGCATTCTACTCTTTTGAAATATTTTCCTGTAACAAGTGAGAGTAATGCTTGGGTTAGAAATCCATTTACAGTAACTGTTAAACCAGCCTCATTAGTAGCACAAGACTATGAGAGCCTGATTGATTTAACATCCGATTCCCAAGTGAAACAAACTTTCAGTGAACTGTCATTAAATGATTTTTGGAGTAGCCTAATTCATGAATACCCAAACATTACAGGACGTGCTGTTCGTGTACTCCTTCCTTTTGCAACAATGCACCTTTGTGAAACAGGGTTTTCATATTATGCTGCAACAAAAACAAAATACAGGAAAAGACTTGATGCTGCACCTCATATGCGGATCCGACTTAGCAACATTACACCCAATATTAAACGAATATGTGGTAAAAAGACACAAAAACACTGTTCTCATTGAAATTGGACAGTTTGGGATGTCTCTTGGTAATGTAAGATGAAAATAAAAGATTATTTACTTCATCTCTAGTATTGGAATTTTAAGAAACTAAGTCAAAAATTCAAATGTCATTGCTATTATTTCTTACATTGTAAATTTCAAAGGGTTCCATAGTCACAACTGGGAAATGATGATCCATAAAATAAAGTTCTAGTTCCTTACTTAGTGTAGCACTTTAGAGTGTCGTTCCTACCCTTTTTCTATCCATGTTTGCCCTACAACTCTCCAGTTCTATGAAATGTCTTTCCAGTCTCTTAAAAAAACAGCAATTTCATGCTTTCAGGTCTCAAAAACTCAGTCATCCACATCTTGCTTCCTGGTGACTTCTACTTACTTTTCAATACTATGACTTAATTTGCCATGATGCTTTTTCTAAATATTTCAGTTTTCACCCTATTTTATCCTGTTGTATACTCCGTGTGTGTGTGTGTGTGTGTGTGTGTGTGTGTGTGTGTGTGTGTGTCTATGTAGTATCTTGTGATTTCAAATGTTACTGGGCTGATCCTTTAGAGCGTCTTACCCAGCTCTCGACCTTCATTATCTGGCAAAAGCCTTTACTGAAGTTCAGTAAAAAGGAGAGGAGGAGGATAGTGAAGGAGAACCAACAAAAAAATGGAAATGGAGATTTCTTACTTCACTAGTTGGTATGGTGACGTGTACATCAAGTTTGGGGGGTTTTGGCTGTGGCTCAGGTACTCTGTTAGCTAGAATTCAGTATGACCCTTCTGCGAAAGTCATTGAGGAATGTCCCATCATTTTGATACACTCTGAACTACAGAGGGAAAGGGGAAGAAATAATGAAGAATACTTCAGATATTTTCTCAGTTCTTCTTAGATTACTGCAAATTCCATTGTGCTTTAGCCTAAATTAATGAGATTTTTTTGTGTAAAGTACTTGGATGGCTAACTTAATTTATTAGTGCTATTAATTTATTCTTGGAGTACTATAAAAAATTCCTTGTTGACTTGCTGTCTCTGGACTACTTTTCCCATGTCATGTCATATAACATTGGTAACCAATTCTGTTAAATATTTTGTGTTGCTCCTGGATTCAAGAGCTACTACAAATAGTCATTATTTAATCTCACTTACTGAAACATTTATTCTCCTATTTTGGCAAATTGTGGTAAAATGACTTGGGCTCAAACATCCATTCTACTACTTAACTAAATGTTTGACTACAGCATTCTGAACTTTGTTAAATTTCCTTTTAATTCTTTATTTATCTTATTTTATTTGGGGAGGGGTCCCCAGACAGGGTTTCTTTGTGTAACATTGGCTGTCCTGGAATTCGCTCTGTAAGCCAGAGTAGCCTCAAACTCACAGAGATCCTCCTGCCTCTGCCTCCCAAATGCTGGGATTAAAGGTATGCACTACTACCACCCAACTCAGTTAATTCATTTTTAAAATTAGCTTTCAGGGTGATTTTGAAAGTTAAGTGAGACTGTGTTTAAAGACTATGACCCAGAATAGGTGTATGGCATATGTCCTCTACTGTATCAAGTGTTCCCAATAAATTTGACTTAATAATTCACTAAGGCTCAATAGTTGTCTAAGCCAGAAAACATATTTTGATATGAGGCAAAATGAAGCACTTCTGTCCAGGTTCTCCCATACTCCTGCCTTTGTCAGCTTATTAAACATCTGTCTATCTGTCACCTCAGTAAATTGTTGTTTATTATGATTAATGTTTGTAACAACACTGTAAGACTTGGACTTGAGCAAGGTCACACCAAATGGTAAAAGTTTAGTCTTTCTTAAAGATGATACTTTTCTCTGTCATTGCCTTTCAGACTTTTCAAAGAAAAAGTGACTTTATAATTCAGCACAACATTCCCTCCTAAAATCTGAACATTTGAAATGTTTTTTTTTCTAAATTCATCCAAAATGGACCATCTACTTTAAACTATAACTTTATTTTCTTGTGAAAAACAATATATAAATCACTGTAATATAAAATTAAGTATTCAAAAGTACATCATAGTTTCCCATACATACTGTACATTCTATGAACACACCTGGTATTAAATATGCCCCAGTTTGAGAAGCATGCACAGAGCCGAGTCTGTATCTGTCTTGTACTGAAATCTGGTAATTAAAGACTCTGTATGTGATTACTGAGCTTGATTAAATCTCTCTCCAGGATGTCCCACTCTTCAAATATATTCTTTTCCTGAACCACATTTCTTTTGGCAGTCTGATTTCTTCTATTTAAATTCAGTCTCATTAACTAGGACCCTGTTACCTGCTATTGGGTCTCTAAGGCTGGCCTTGCCCAACTTGATACCAACTCAAGAATTCCGAAACCTATCTGGCCCCTTGTGTTTTGACGAGCATGCATAACTAGGGAGAATGGGCTCTTAGCATGCATGTAAAGATGGTCTGATGCCAGCTAGAGGACAGACTTGACTCCCACATCACAACTTCTTCTAAAATGCTCTAATCTCTTAGTTCTAACCAAATCCCCAGAGAGAAGACTCTTTCTCTCTATGTTTAAATACTTCTTGCCCTTCACAATTGGCTGTCTGTTCTATAAAAACCAAAGTTAGCAACACTGCCAATCTCCCTTTCTTGACTGTTTACAAGCCTTTTGGTTATAGTGTCAGACAGCATCCTTGAGCACAGGAGCCTCTCAAGCCAGAGGGAAGCCACTATCTGATAACTGATAACTTTCCACACACACAAAAAAAAGAAATGTTGAAAGAAGAAATAAATGTCATTTGACTTGAGTATCTACTTGGGGTCTAAATGGTATCTTCAAGGCACTATCAATGACAGCTACCCTACCTGCCTATCAAGCAGTGATGCTCAGATGTGTTCAACCCCAAAGGACTTTATCTTGTAATCTCTGTATTTCAAATAGTTGAAATTACTTAGATTTCTTAATGAGGATTGTTCCATTTTAATCTCGACTTATATCCACATATAAAGACAATGGTGGTCGAGTTTTCTTATGGGTCATTTATAAAACTCAACACATTTCTTTTTGGTTTGTTTGGTTTTTGGTTTTTGTTCTTGTGTATCCCTGGCTTTTCAAGAACTCTGTTTTTAGACCATGCTAGCCCCAAATTCATGGAGATTTGCCTGCCTCTACCTCCTGAGTGCTAGTATTTAAGGTGTGCATCACCATGCGCAGCAGCAACTTCCTTCCTTCCTTTTTTTCTTTTTTTTTTTTTTTCCAAGACTGGATTTTTCTGTGTAGTTCTGGCTGGCCTGGAACTTGTTCTATAGACCATGGTGTGCTTAAACTAAGAGATCCACTTGCCTCTGCTTCCTGAGTGCTGGGATTAAAGACATGTGCTGCCACCACCACCACCCTACCAAACTTATGATCATAGAAAAGTGGGTTGAATTTTCTAGTTAAAAGGTGAAATACAATTCTTAAAGCCTTCCTTAAACAGGATGAGAAACTAGTCTGTATTTCAAGAGCTTCAAAGGCAGCATTTCATCGGAAAAACTCCCTATTGCCTTAAGATTGTTTTATTCCCTAAAATGTAATTCACCTACAATTTACAAAATGGTCCATCAGCTTTGGAAATGTACCTGTGGAACTGCTTCATCTATCTTTCTTTCTTTTTTTTTAAGTTACTATAACTGACTACTGTTAATTAGCACAGTGGAAAGAATTCTAAAGTAGGTATCAAGAGATTTGTGTTCCATAACTAATTAACTGTCTTACATTTAAGTTCATGCCTCTCTAGGTTTTAGTTAATTTTTTAAATGAAAAGGATTGAACTGGCCGGGTGGCGGTGGTGCATACCTTTAATCCTAGCACTTGGGAGGCAGAGGCAGGCAGATCTTTGTAGGTTCAAGGCCAGCCTGATCTACAGAGCACCAGGACAGGCACTAAAACTATCCAGAGAAACCCTGTCTTGGAAAAAAAAAAAAAAAAAAGGATTGAACTGAAGTGAGTTCTAAAGTTTTATAAGATATGATCAAATTTTAAACCCAGATAAAGATTAGGGACTCAGTTATTTGAAATTTAAAGGTTTTGCGCGTGTGTGTGTGTGTGTGTGTGTGTGAGAGAGAGAGAGAGAGAGACTCAGCTGTTCAGAGCACTTGTTGCTCTTTCAGAGGACCCAGTTGCCAGCACCCTCATGGCAGCTCTCAACCATCTATAACTCTAGTTCCAGGGGATCCAACTCTTCTGACTTCTGTGGGCACCAGGAATACATGTGGTATATATACTTCTATCCATGTGGGCAAAACACTCAAACACATAAAATTAATAAACCTAAAAATTTTTGTTTGTTTTTTGAGACAGGGTTTCTCTTCATATTCCTGGCTGTCCTGGAACTCACTCTAGACCAGGCTGACCTTGAACTCACAAAGCTAACCTTTTTCAATTATCCTTTTACCATAATACTTTCCATCAATCAAATGATAAAATTAACAAATTGCCCTTTTATAGATACTGACTGGAAAGAATGAAGTGTTTTGAGGGAGGGAGACATGCTTTGAAATTTGGGAAACATTTAAGGACAAGCTAAAATGTGCAGTTAGGTCCAGTTATCTTTTCCATCTTATGCATCCTCAGTTGATAGAGCATAAATCTATCATAGTTACTAGTCTATTCCTGTGAGGAGATACCATGACCAAGGCAACTTATAAAAGAAAGCATTTTATTGGAGACTTGATTACAGTTTCAGAAGGCTAGTCCATAATCATGGTGGGGAGCAGAGCAACAAGCAGTCATGGCGCTGGAGCAGTAGCTGAGAGTTTTACATCCTGATCTGTAGACAGAGAGGGGCTACTGGGCCTGGTGTGGACTTATGAAGCCTCAAAGCCTACCCCTAAGGACAAACCTCATCCAACAAGGCCTCACCTCCTAATCCTTTTTAAATAGTTCACTAACTGGGGACTAAGCATGCAAATATATGAGCCTATGGGAGCCATTCTCATTCAAATTACCACAAGATTATATGTAGTTTCCAGAGTGTTCTTTGCCCCAATCCACAAGAAGAAACATTTTACATTATGTTCTCTGTATGTGTGTGTATATACTAAAGTTCCCTAACAGCCCTAATTTTGCAAATGTGAGGTGCATTCTCTAGGTTTAAAGTTCTGTATTTAACTTATTAAATGATGGCTAAGACTGATTCATTTGGGGGTTTTAACCCACAATTTGAAAGAAATTCTTCAGGAACCTGGATATAAGCCAATTAAGGTA